AGCAGCTCACCAGATGAGGATCTGTCAAGATATTAAGACAAACTGGACACTCTATCTCCACATGCTCGGGCAATTCTTTAGCAAATGAAAGCTCTTCTCTACTGAACTGAGCCATGATATCCAATAATAAGTAGGTGGAACTTTACCTTAGCTTTTTAACAACCTAAAGGTGAACCCTATCTACTGATATCCAAGCTTCATGTGACTGTTTTGACACACAGTCAATAATTTGTGTAGTGCTATGTACATGAATTCCATAAATAATTACTCTACCAATTATACTCCCACCTATACTACACTCCCAAACAAGCATTCACATTATTGAGGTAAGCCATGAGTAGTATTTAATTGAATATAAACCAGTTGTATTTTGGAACAACAGTGGCATGTTCAGTTAGAGAAGCTTGGTTCCCCGAAGAGGAAATTTGCTTCAAAATCACCCCAAATTTTAATTGCATTTTCTAATACATATTGATTGATGTCCTTATGCTGTGTAGAAAGTTTGAGCTGACAGTTCTGACAAATATTTTTTTACTTATGACATATTTTCAAATTTGCCAGTTTTTGAAAAAAAGTAAATGCTATAGTATCATGGTTACTGTAGATAATGCTGCAGAGGAGCTCATTGTGTAAAGGGTATAGAATGAGTTGTTTGATCTGTTGTATGAAGTAAAGGTGATATTATCCATAATCTACCATGCAAGTGACTGATCGGGACAATATACTTGTAACTTCATGTAACTGTTTTAAGTGTTCTGACAAGCATTATCAAAATATTGAGTATTATGTGTTTTAGGTCACAAGATGTTGTATAGGTATGGGCTTTTAATATCAAATACTATTATTTTTATGCATTTTAATTGTGTGTAATTATGACAATAACAAATTCAACAAACAAATATCATAGGATAAGTAACTCAAATTGGTATAATCAACATTATTATTATTATACTTGCATGGATAAATTTATTGGTGTTAATTCACTAACACGCTCACTGTTGTACACTATCATTACTTTGTATAGATTTTAACACTATAACCAATAGAAGTGAAATAAGCTCCTAATTTTATTGGAATGACTCTGTTTGGTATACCATCCTCAAAATCAAAGATATAGTCAAGAGAATATTCTGATGATTGTTCATAAGTAGCTTCAGTGTCTTCAATCAATGATATTGTATCATATAAGAAATCTGCAAATATTTTAGGAAGTTTCGGTTGAAATTTATCGAATTGTCCTTCATGAAATGCCAGTATAATGTAGTAATCAGCACATGAAAACTCATCAGCACTCCCTGTCATTAGTCTAGCTTACATGTGCCGACCACACGCACCAGTATAAAAATGAACTGCTTTACCTCCTTCAGTAATATTAATTGGTAGTAATGGATGGGAATCATCAGCTATGGCATTGTGAATGTTGACAATTTCAGACTTTAACTTTTGATTTTCTTGTTTCATTTCTTGATATTCTTCTTTTATTTGTTCATTTTCTTTCTTCAATTGTCCACAAGCTACAGCTAATAGTGTCATGTGTTTAGTATCAGCAGTGTGTACATGTACATCTTTACGTAATGGCTTATCATTACAACCAGCCCAACTAAACACACAATCTACTGGCTCTAATGGACACTGATCACTAATGTGAGCAGTGAGAACATGACGTGGCATAGTGTTCAATGAACAGTTATTGGGACAAGTAACTGGATACTACCTGCATTCCTCATAATGATACTTTGTAATAAAGAGGAAAGTACCTTCTTCCCCACAGTATTGGCACTGAAATGGACATTGATCACATTCTCTATCTTCATGATCTTTGAGATATCTGTGTTGCTTTTCCTCTTGGCATTTTCTATTTTGACACTTTACTTCTTCATATTGACATTTTCCTCTTCTCTTCCTTTTTTTAAGATTAGTAAACATATTCTTCAATTCTCCTTTCCATTGACATCCTTTCTCCTTATTACTGCAGTAGACCTCCAATCCATTGATAATACATGAACACTTCTTATCAATAAATGATTGATATTCCTCCTCTTGACACAAAGGACAAGATCCATTACTAGCTTTTACTCTCTCAATACAAGACCCACAGAAATTATGTCCACAGCAGCTCACAATATGAGGATCTGTCAAGATATTAAAACAAATTGGACACTCTATCTCCACATGCTCTGGCAATTCTTTAAGAAAAGAAACCTCATCTTCACTGAACTGAGCCATGATGACAGCCTGATCCGCCACGCCCTGAAAGATAACAAACCATAGCATTTGCTATTTTTGAGGAAATGTGCAAGCATAGAAGTAACCTGAGTAAGTTTTTCAAATTTTAATTAATTTTTTGAAGCTGAACTAACTATGTAGACTGGGTAGTTCCAGTCTTGGCACAGGAAGAACTTTTGAACTGAGATTGATTTACCGGTAATTAATAAATAATAGTAAATAAATTTGACGTAGTTATTAATGCTATCTTTACTTTGCATAAACAGTTACAAGAGTCCCAAACTTATAAAATATATCTATTGGTCCTAATTTTATTTTAATAACACCTGCAGGGATGTGATATTCACAACTTTTGATGCTGTGAAGAGTATTATATTGCAGTTGTTCATAAGTAGCTTCAGTGTCTTCTATTATTGGTATATCTTCATCTTTAAACTTTGCAAATATTTTAGGAAGTTTTGGTTTAAATTTGTCAAAATTTCCTTCATGAAATACAAGCAGTATGTAGCAATCTGAAACATATTCTGTCAAATTTTCTGCCACTATTCTAGCTGACATGTTCCAACCACATACACTCGTATAAAAGTG